TTCAACTCACTGAAAACTAATTACTCAAAGGCATTAGCTAGTTTAAAAAGAGTTTACGATAACACTTGTCTAATCTTTATCGATAGTATCTCGCAGCTTTTTGAACTGCCAGAAATGAACAAGCCATCTGCTTCTGCATTACGCAATATCATAGATACTGTTTCTGCCATATATGAGTCCCTATTGTCAATAGGAGATGATAAGAACATTTCAAATGCGATTCTTATTCATTTAGTCATGTCAAGAGTCGATGCCGCCACGAAATCTAAATGGGAGGAACAATTAGATTACAATAAGCTGCCGCTCTGGTCTGATTGCGAGACTGCGTTAAATAAGCGATACCAACACATTTCTGCTGACGAAGCTTCTACGTCAAGGTCTCGATCGAACAGGCCAAAACAAGACAACTGGCAAGGTAAGAATGTAAAATCGTCACTTATGTGCAAGAAAAATAGTTCGCAAGAGGAAAGTAGATGTTTGTTCTGTAATGCGAAGGAACATGTAATAAATTCATGCTCCGCCTTTGCTGCCCTCTCAGTTACTGAACGGTTCAATTTCATTAAATCATCTTCGGCATGCATAAATTGTCTCAAGAAAGGGCACACGGTATCTAGATGCAAGGCGTCACGCTGCAGAGTGTGTAATCGGTCGCACCATACTCTTTTACACCAATATTCTACTAACACTCCTCAAACAGGTTTATCTTATAATCCAGAACAACCTATTATTTCTCGTGCCTCTGTGAATCATAGTTCATCGAATGACGATCAAATTATTCTAGCCACTGCAGTCATAACCATTCAAGGAAAATCTGGAGAGTATCAGCTGGCCAGAGCACTGCTCGATTCCGGTTCTCAAGTAAACCTTATAACCGAGGAACTTGCACAACGACTGCAACTAAAAAAAGAAGCGAAAACTCTAAACCTAATTGGCATTGGTGAAACAAACTCCACAGTACGGCAAAAATTACATGCCACTGTGAGATCACGTATTAACTCTTATGAGTTTTCTACTGATTTTTGGGTAATGCCTTCAATCTCCACTTACCAACCCGACAAATTTGTGTCAATGAGTAATTGGAATGTTCCTTCCAATCTTTCACTTGCTGATCCGCACTTTCACAAACCTCAAAAGATAGATCTTCTACTTGGTGCCGAAAGCTTTTTCGAACTGTTGTCGATTGGACAAATAAAACAAGGTACTAATCTTCCAATTCTCCAAAAAACTTTACTTGGATGGATTGTATCAGGAAAATATAAAGATGTCCCAAGTAATGCATCTAAGATATGCAATTTAATACGCCTTCAAGAAGCAGAGTCAACAGGTGATTTCTGCTTAAACTCTCTTGTGAAAAAATTCTGGGAATTGGAAGAAATTCCCAAGGAGCTCACTGTCAAAAAATACACAATAGAACAACAACACTGTGAGACCAAGTTTCTCAACACAATTTTACGCTTACCTTTAGGGAGGCTTAAGGTGCAGCTTCCTTTCAAGTCCAACCCCAACCTTCTAGGTCAGTCATATGAAACAGCAAAAAATCGTTTTCTCTCACTGGAACGCAGGTTGTCGAAAGACTGTATGCTTCAGAAGCTGTATATGGAGTTTATGGCAGAGTATCGTGACTTAGGTCACATGACATTAACTACTGACAACTTTTCTTCGACACCTCATTACTATATACCGCATCAGTGTGTGTTGAGACCTCAGAGTACCTCGACAAAACTTCGCGTCGTGTTCGATGCTTCATGCCGAACATCTTCACAAGTGTCGTTGAACGACATTCTAATGGTTGGTCCAACGGTACAAGAAGAATTGTATTCAATCCTACTTCGCTTTCGTATGCACAAATACGCGATGACTGCTGACATTACAAAAATGTACCGTCAAATCGAAGTTGACGAGGCAGATCGCAATTTTCAACTTATTCTCTGGAGGGAAAAACCTACGGATCAGATTAGCGTTTATAAACTGAACACAGTGACATATGGTACTTCACCTGCTCCTTTCTTGGCAACACGTTGCCTAAACTACTTAAGTGACCTGTACAAGAATTCTCATTCAGTTGGAGCAAGGGTTATCCGACATGACTTCTATGTCGATGACCTATTGACTGGTGCTGACAGTCTGAAGGAACTGGAAACAATTCGTACCCAATGTACTGAAATTCTTGATTCGGCTGGATTTAAATTAGCGAAATGGTTTCAAACCATAAAACGTATGACTCGTCAGACTTCGTTCTAAATGTTAATAATACTGATTCCACAAAGGCGCTAGGTATACACTGGATTCCCCAGAATGATACGTTTAAGTTCCATGTAGACGAAAAGTTTCATGAATTGCGAGCAACAAAAAGAAACATACTATCAGTATCAGCTCGGCTCTTCGATCCCCTCGGACTAGTATGCCCAATAGTGACTAACGCAAAAATTTTATTGCAAGAACTTTGGCTTCAGAAGCTTGACTGGGATGAGTCAATTCCTATGCATCTCGATTCTAGCTGGCAAGCATTTAAAAGTAACCTGACTCAGATGGACTCTATTTCCATTCCGCGGTATGTTCATATTCATTCAAAGATAAAATGCGATATTCACGGTTTCGCCGATGCGTCAATAAGAGCGTACGGCTGTTGCATCTACGTCCGAATCCATAATTCGAATGGGATTCATTCTGAGTTGTTAACTGCCAAATCTAAGGTTGCTCCTTTAAGCACAAAATCAGTACCCAGATTAGAGCTGTGTGCCGCTCATTTATTGGCTAAACTATGATATCGAATTCAGCCGTTGATTACTTGCGAAATCGGTGATGTTTATTTTTGGACGGACTCTGAAATTACACTTCATTGGATTAAAACTCACCCATCCACTTTAGCAACATTTGTAGCAAACAGAGTTGCAGAGATCCAAGAATGGACGAGCGAAGTTCTTTGGAGACACGTTCCATCAAAGCTAAATCCTGCAGACTTAGAGTCCAGAGGATGTAATGTAGATGAGTTGATTCACTCAATTTGGTTTCGTGGCCCATCATATTTGCTTCAAGATGCAACTAACTGGCCAAAAAATAATCATTTTCCACTATCAATAGATGAAAAAAGTTTGGAGAAACGAAAGGTCAAGGTCGGACTTTTAGCAGTTGAAATTGAAACTAATGTCATTTCAAAACTAATCTGTAGCCAATCATCTTACCCAAGACTGCTGAGAATTTTCGCGTACATTCTACGTTTTATCACTAAGAAAAATGAGAGAGCCAACGCTCTTATTCCGACATCAAAGGAGCTTAATTGGGCATTCTTGAAAATCGTTGAATTCATTCAAAATCACGAATTCAGGGATGAGATCGAAAAAATGAAGAAGTCGCATAAATTGCCAGTTAGCATTCAGAAACTAACTCCGTTCATTCATACAGTCCAAGATGGTTCTCGAACATGCAATTTGCTTCGTGTAGGAGGTCGTCTACTAAACGCACCACTGTCTTATGATTCAAAATTTCCCTTGCTGTTACCTAAGAAATTGCATTTTGTCGAGATTTATTTACGATTTCTCCACACAACCAATTGTCATGCTGGTCCAAAAGCCTTAGAAGTGCTGCTTCGTGAAAAAATTTGGGTCATAAATTCAAGCAAGGCATGCAGTAAAACCGTAAGAGCATGCATACATTGTTTTCGATACAAACCTAAGCTGTTGACCCAAGTAATGGGAAACTTACCTGCAGATCGGTTAAAGGCACTACGACCCTTTTTAATTAGCGGTGTCGATTTTTGTGGGCCTGTATACACTACTTTGAAAATTCGTGGTCGACCACCAGTTAAAATGTATATCGCAGTGTTTGTTTGTTTCACGTCAAAGGCTATACATTTAGAACTTGTAACAGATCTGACAACTGTTTTATTTTTTGTCTTAAAAGGTTTGCCGGAAGACGAGGACTCCCAGAAAAAATCTATTGCGACAATGCGACAAATTTTGTAGGTGTAGAAGCCCTGCTAAATTCTCGTCCACTCAGTCCATTGAGTCAAGACCCAAACGACAAAGAGGCGCTAACACCAGCACACCTGTTGATTGGAGGTACTCTTCACACGCTGCCGCAAGAATTCGCGCAAGGCGTCTCCGACAACAAATTGAGCACTTTGAAACGTTGGCGTCTGTTATGCGAGCTCAAACGGAGGTTTTGGCAGGCCTGGTCCAAAGATTACATCCTACAGCTGCAGCCCAAGAACAAGTGGGTGTTCGAGCAGCCGAATCTCGCAGTCGGCCGACTAGTCGTCGTCCAAGAAGACAACCTTCCCTCTCACCAGTGGAAGCTCGGAAGGGTGGAAGCCGTAATTACAGGTCGCGACAATAAGGTCAGGGTCGTTGACGTCAATACCAGCAACGGAATTCTGAGGCGTCCAGTTCACAAATTAGCGATGCTGCCGGAAAATTGAACACATAATCGTGCTTCAACGCGGCCGGTGTTGAATGTTTATATTTTATTTCTATGTTTAATTTGCTTTCTTTTAAAAGTAGTTAATATAACGCGCGTGCTGCTCATTTTTTTATGGTAAATATGCAACCCAATGTTGACTTTCGTCAACCTTGCACATATACGGTACTTTAAAATATAAAAACAATATTAATTTACAGTTTTTTGGCTTCAAGATTGAACTAGCATTCTCGATCGCTCTCTTGCATTTCAAGTTCCAAATGAACAGCACGCGTTTTATTTTCGATTTTCGAAGTGATTTATTAAAATTTTAATTTCTTAAATAAAGTGTAATTAATTTGAATAAAATACTTTCGTTGTAACTTTCGTTTTTTATAACTTCAATAAATACAAAAACTCTTGTATTTTTCAATGCATTTGTAACATAAGACATGATAAGCATGTATGGTCATTGCACTATTCCAACCTAAATTCTAGAAAGTACATTAACTCTTTAAAAACAATATATGACGTATTATTGTAATGCGTTAGAAGAGTATTTGTTTATAAAATACATGTAATAAAATAATTAATGTAATTTATGGGAATAACCAATGCATTGATTGGTTACTCAAATCAATCAAAAAGTAAATAATAATTCACTACGTTTACGCGAGCCTTAAAAGTTGTTTTAAGGCTCTTAAAATCGATTTTAAGATCGCGTAAACACCCTAAATTGAATTTTGCTTAAAAGCACTTTTAGCTTACTAAATGTAGTTTAACATCACTTTTAGTAAGAAATGTCACTTTTAATCTTTGCGTAAACACCTTAAAAGCAGTTTAAGGTTTGAATTGTCAGCTGTTAACAGTAAATAGGTACAAATAATTTGAATTTTATTACAAATAACACTAACCAAATAACTAAAAATATGGAGAAAAAGAAAATGAAAAGAAAAAATTGGATGAAAGAGGAGGAAGAATGTTTAATTAAAATATTTGCAGAAAAACAAATAATTAAATTGTTAGACGGCAAAAAATATAGAAAAAACCTAATTGCATCCAAGAATCTAAATTAATTAAACTTGTTTATTTTTTATTCTCTATTTGAAAATCTTAACTTTACCGTAATGATAACTATATATTTAAAACATTTTAGTTTAGTTTAAATTAAGTTTATTATTTTCAATTATTTAAATTTGTCATTAAGCACAAATTGTTATAAATATATTATATTATATATATTATATTGTTAGTTATAAAAAAAATTATAAATTAATTAATTTAAAATTGGTTTTTTCTACATTATTTTTTTAATTGCTTCTATGTAGAAGTGGAAATTTTCTCGCCAAGTACGCGCATATTATCTCGCATAAGTTGTCCGGACGACAAATTTTGTCGATTGTACATATGTTCAGGTTGGGAATATTCAACCCTTCAACGAAAGTATTTTCTGCTGGTGCCATTTTATCCTTAAGTAAATCTACAAGCCGGAAAAATATTTGTCGATTCACTTTAAAATCAACAATCCATTGTTCATCGTCATAGAACTACAGAACTTCAACATCCCACCATTCCGAACTTCTCTTCCTTTTGCTAAAAGTTCTTATTCGTGGTGAAAGCTAAAAACAAAAATGCATTCTAAATATTTTATGAAAAACTTTATAAAAACATTTACATTCATTAAAGCCTCATTAGCGGAATTTATTGCCATTTTATTAAAGAGCTGCAATCGCATTTCTCGTAATTTTGTAAATTTTTTACGAGATGTTTTAAAAATCTGCATTGTTGCTTCATTATTATTTTCTACAATTTTGGTTATATTTCTTTTTTGCAATAAAAGTAAAACAATTTGTAGTTTTACTCTATTCATTTTAAAAATGTTTAAAATCAACATTTCTGTTTACTGTTAAACAGCTGATTGATTGACAGCTACCTTAAAAGTGCTTTTAATTTTTGTGCGTAAACGCTCTAAGAACAAATTTTAAAATCAGTTTTAAAAGTGATTTTAAGACTCGCGTAAACGTAGTGATTGTTTAGTAAATAAGCTAGATTAAGTATAAATACCCATAATTTTGATAATAAAAATAGATTCAATTTAACTTAAGACAAGGTTACGTCTTTTATTTGAATCGTGTTCTATGCGGCATTTAGATGCTGAAAGAACAATAAGCGGCTGAAGAGCTTAGTAATACTCTCCTCTATACTGATAGGTCGTTTCCACTTACACTGGTCGATAAGTGATCCTTGAATCCTTTCAGGACTCAGACATCATTTGGTGATATTAATTGAGAAGGCTCTATCTAACAATCCTGCTATTATATCTTGACGATCCTAACATCTTGCAACCATTACATGGCGAAGCATTAAGATCATCACCATAACATTACAATTACATTTTATAACCATAACATGGCGATCCTGCAAGATCATTACAATGGTGTTGTAGTTATTATATCAAAAAAACTCAAAAATATGGTAACAAATGTCGTGTATCATTCCACTTGTATAATAATGGTGCAAATGAAGGAGTGGCCAGTAAATTTAAATATAATTTAAGTTTACGCACCTACATGTGATGCTCCTGATGACAAAATTGAAATATTTTATGATGGAATTCAATCATTGATAAGAAGTACAAAGTTAAGAGATGTTCTGATGGTTATGGGTGTCTTTAATGCGAAGATAGGCCAAGGTACGGACGATGCTATTGTTGGCAAATTTATCCTAGGTGAAAGAAACGAAAGGGGTGATCGTTTGGCTGAATTCTGCAGAAGTAATAAGTTGATTATTTCCAATAAATTCTTTAAATTGCCAAAACGAAGACTTTATACCTGGAAGTCACCAGACGATACAGCAAACAGGGTCATTCGTAACCAAATTGACTTTACAACAATAAGTAAAAGATATAAGAACTCAACAAAATTCGCAAAAACTTTCAACCTGGTCACAATTTGCTAGCTGTTAAAATCAACGTTAAATACAAATCGTCAAGCTCAGCTCAACCGAGGAGTAACCTCAACGTACAGAAATTGAAAAGCCCAGATTTAAGAATGCGAGTTGATAATGAAAATGAAACGAGGTTATTAAGTTTACAACCTGACGACATGTTCATTGAGGAAATATATGTGATAATTAAAAACACAATACTGGTAGCAAACAATGAATTGAGCGTGGTCAGAGCTAGAGGGAAAGAAGTTCGGATCACAAATGAAATCCTGGCATAATTGAACGAAAAAAGACAGTATAAATATAAAGATACTCGCAAATATAAGGATACACACAGATCATATGTGTTGTTATTAGAAAAGCAAAAGAAGAGTTTCAATAAAAGTACAGGATTACTTTTTTGAGAGTCTATAGATAAAGTCAAAATCGCAATCATGTTAGACAACGTTCGAAGTGGATAAGGCACTTAGAAGAAGAAGAAGAAGAACAGCAGAGAGAAAAATGAAAAATCGATAACGGGTAACAAAAAAAAATTAAATGAATTGTTATGGATGTGAAGGTCAGCACCTTAGAAAAGAGTGCAAGTTCTGTAATTCGAAAATATGCAGATCGAAACTAGATCAAATAGCGGAGGACGAGTTTCTACAAATACTCAGTATTAATGCACTTAAAGAAGTAGGAAGAATGATGAAAATTGATGGAAAGAAAACTCAGATAGAATTAGACAATGGTGCTCCATGTACTGTAATTAGTTACAGAACTCTTCAATCGATAAAATGAATTTCAAGTCGCTTAAGAGTGAGAGGCGATTCACAAGCTACACGGGTCATCAAGTTAATTACGTTGGGTGAAATAGGTAAAAGAGTACTGCGGGTAAATCTGTATATCATGCAAGTAGATTGAGATACACTTTGCGGCAGAGAATGGATATCACAATTTGGGATAAAGATCAACTTTTCTGGGTAAAAGAGTACGGTGAATAAATCTGTATATCGTGCAATGAGATTGTGATACACTTTGCGGCAGAGAGTGGATATCACAATTTGTGAGAAAGATCAACTTTTCTGAACTTTTTTTTTCATCTAACCATATTAACTCAATAAGCTCCTTTGAACAAGAACTATATACAAACCAGCGAGAGCAGCTGATCGAGCCTTTTAAGGACGTATTCAGTGGGCCGCCTGTTAAAGTGCAGCTCAAAAAAGGAGCTACTCCAGTCTTTGCACGACCACGTGAAATCCCAATGGTATTAAAAATACATACGCTAAAGAAATTGATCAAAAGATTCAATCCTAAATCTCTAAAATACATCGAAGCAATATAAAATGCTCCCAAACCATCAACGGTTGAAGAGCTTCAACTTTTTTTAGGGAAAATCTTAGACCATTACGGAACATGTCAAAAACAGAAGTATTTCGCTAAAAGGGGAGGCAGATGCAGCGTTTACTCTTTTAAAACAAATATTGACCTCACTTCAAGTTTTAATTCCGCACGATCCGGCACTACTGGTAATGCTAGCAACAGAAGTAAGCCGAACGGGTCTATGTAGTATATTATCGCATCGTTTAGAAAATGGAGTAAAGCGACCAATTGCTTGTGCAAGTTGAACGATGACTGCTACGGAACAATGATATACAAAAATTGATAAAGAGTGCAAAAATTTTTCAAATACTTTTATGCTGGTCATTGGATATCGATCATGAATCATTAGCCATTATCACAGATTCTTCAACCCAACAAGTCCCTTGCAGTATTATGCATAAGTAGATTGGTTAACTATTCAGAATTTTCAAGCAGTTTCATTTTCACAATATCTACAAATAAAGCAATTGCTTCGAACAGTAGCGACTCATTCAGATAATTATGATAAATTTAACTCTATGATTAGCCAGATAATTCATTTGCGTTGTAACGACACATTTTCGTTCGTTGGTAATGCTGAAGTATACTTAGTCGTTGTCCAGAGGTCGTTGCAATATAATTTTTATTTTTGG